CTTTTATTCCTTTCCTGTCTTTTTAATGACCTTTTGCTTTCTTCATGGATGATGTTCTTGATATCATCCCACAATTCTGGTTTTCGGTCATGGGTGTTCAATGTGTCAAATCACATTGTCTCTAAATTCAGGTGAGATATAATCAAGGTCATATTTTGGCTCTCATAGACTTGTTTTAGTTTTCTTCAGCTTCAACTTAAATTTGTATATGAGCAGTTGAGGTCTGTTCCACAGTCACCTCCTGGCCTTGTTTTGGTGGAAGATATTGAGCTTCTCCATTACCTCTTTCCGCAGATGTAATCGATCTGATTCCTGTGTAGTCTACCTGAGGAGGTCCATGTGTATAGCCACCATTTATGTTATTGAAAAAGGTGTTTGTAATGGGTAAGTCGTTGGTCTTGCAAAATTCTATCATGTGATCTCTGGCATCATTTCTGTTACCAAGGCCATATTTTCCAACTACTGGTGATTCTTCTTTGTTTTGAACCTTTGCATTCCAGTCACCAGTAATAATCAATGGATCTTGAGTGCATGTTTGGTCGATTTCAGGCTGCAGAAGTTGGTAAAAATTTTTAATTTCCTCATCTTTGGCTTTACTAAAAAAGGCATATGTGTAAGACATTTGACTGCTAGGTGGTTCAAATCCACCAGCGACTTCTTGGAAGGAAGATTGGGCAATCTACTTCCATAGTGATACTGCCTCAGAAACACAAAGAGGGGTCACTGTGTGAGTTTGGATCCGACTCGATGGCAGTGAGTTTTGTTTTTTTTTTTTTTTTTTTGGTTTTGGCTTTAGTGGTTGGTGTGTAAATTTGAACAATAGTGGTATTAACTGGTCTTCCTTGTAGGTGTATGAATATTATCCTATCTCTGACATTGTACTTCAGGATAGATCTTGAAACACTTTTTGTAACAATGAATGTGACACCATTCCTCTTCAATTTTCCATTCCCAGAGTAATAGATCATATGATTGTTTGATTCAGAATGGTCAAAAACAGTCCATTTCAGTTCACTGATGCATAAGATACCACCAGGTGTCTGTCAGTTTTTCATACTGTGGTGGCTTGCATGGTACTGTAAGGCTGGAGGCTGTACCACCGGTATTTCAAATACCAACAAATATTAATAGTTATTTCAGTATAATAGTCATAAACCAAAACTGTCCCCCCAAGAAAACCAAGGTATATGGTCACCCTAATTGTAGGCCATCTCATTCAACCCTTTCATTTTAATAATGAGAACAATGAGACCTAGTGTTTGAACAATTTATCTTAGAAATATCAGAACAAGGCTGGTCTCCATGAGGTGGAGGTTAAAGATGTCCCAAATGTCCAAACTACTATGCCACTCCATCATTTCAGACATTAACTCCTCCTCCTCTTCTCAGTAATTTCCCCATATTAGGGTTCCGTGTTTCACTGTAACACCTCACAGAACTCACAGACACCCAAGGGATCATCTCATGTAGTGGTGGTGGAGGCTAGGGCGCTAGCCTAGCAAGCTAGCTGGCAAGTCCCAAGTCTGTAAGTAGGTCTGGAGGATCCTTCCAATTCTTGGGGTTTGACAAACCTCAATCACCAGATCAAATGACAGCTGCTGTACCAAATCCAGGGGTGAGATGATGATGAGCCAAAATGCAGAACCAGAGCAAGAGGAGGATGAACCTTCCCAGAAGATTCATGTGTATACCCTTTTGGAAGCTAAGGGTGGTGATTTAAGTTATAACCTCCAGCAAGGCAGGACTCAAGATATATCCCACCTGTATTGCTCCAACAGAAAAAAACCCAGGTGGATGATTTTAACAATCAGTAGTTTAAAAGCAGCTATTCAATTGCTCATGGCAAATTCCACCACAAGGCCAATTGCCAGTCATTATAGGGAATAACTATTACCAGCTGCCCACCCAAGTTGATACATGACCTTAACTACCACACCACCCTAAACAAGCAGGATAATAGGATTTTCAATACATCACAAAATGGAGGACAAAGGCTAAAAGGGCCACATCAAGCAATGCACTGCACCCAGAAACAGTAAGTCATTTGCTGGTGGTAGTTACCAAGCAAACTAATGGCCAAGCTGCCCTAAGTACCCTGCCACCCAGTCTCTTTCCAAGATAACATATGTTGTCTCTAATAGTATGAGTACCATATCCTCCTTTGAATATATGTAGTTTTATAGTTAATAATTATCACATAGCTAATTTTCTGTAAGATTCTACATATTGATAGCTTACATCATTGATGACAATTTTATGAGTCTAATTAATGGCATGGGCTATATAGCACATTTAGGGATGTTTAAACATTGGTATGCTTGAGAACTAGAAAGTAAACACAAACAGAATTTCTCATTTTGCTAGATACAACAAGAGAAATATTTAGAAATGCTAATTGTCCAAATTGAGAAAAGAAAAAAAAAATCAGTAAGTATTGTATGATTGGCATGCCAAAAAACACTGCATATTGATTTCTTGATGATTGGATATTGACTGGCAATGAATATTATATCTTTAAGATATGACCATCATTCCATATTATCACCTTTGATCAGCTATCTGTTGTCTTGTTAACAAAATAAAGCCCATGTATGTTCTTAATCACTCACTTAAACTTTGGTCCAAAATCCTTGTCTGATTTTTTTACCTGGGAAACTGTACTAGACCATATGTGAGCCTGAAGGGCACCTCTAAGCCTTTTGTGAAAGCTTAGGCCTGAGAAGTCTCCTTCAGGACTCTTTTCTCCAGTACCCCATCTAGCTCCAAATTGTCCTTCCTAGGACATCCCAAGAAGCAGACCATTGTACCACTTCAGTTTCATGAGGTAGAGGACAGAAAGAAGGAAGCCCTTTTTACAAGGCCTAAAGCAGAGCTTGCCTATGGTGCCTACACCATGCTTCCTTTTCCTTGGGATACACTCTGGTCCAGTTGATCTTCCAAATGTAGGACTATCATTTATGCAGGAGACCTGACCAGAACTTTGCCAACCTGGCCTCTTATAGTTGAGGAGAACCAAGAGAAGTAGACTGAACAGTGATCCCTTTCCCCTTCTCCCTAACATCTTGCCTCTTGCCTAGTGTCCTAGAGGACCCCTTATTCTTTGACATCCATTTGAACTTCTTCTCTGTGGGCTGGCTGGAGAGATGAGGGGACTGGTGACCAACTATAACCTTTATACTCAAAATATAAGCCACTCATATGGGTAACTTTTTTCTCTAAAGTTGTTTTCTATATGATCCATATCCATATGAATGACACAGTACCCTAGAGCTCTGTGGTCCAGAAGCAACATGGGGTTGTTGGAGCCCCTGAAACATGGCTAGTGCAATACATTGAAATAATGGTGGTTTGGCCGTATTGGGATAAATAAAAAATTTTACCTGTCTCTTTTTACCTTTTTAATGTGACTACTAGAAAATCTAAAATTACCCGTGTGGCTCCATTATGTTTCTATTGGACAGCGCTGTTCTAGAGGTGTATGCTAGATGCATAAATGAAATGGGATTCAGTTGCACTTAGATTGTTCTTTGGCATTGCAGTGATCTTTTAACTATCACAGGTCTGAAAGGAGAGCAGTTTGCTAGATGTTTTCCAGTGCAATTTACTAAATTTTTAGTAACACTTCAGTGTAATAGAAATATTTGGTGCAGGGGCAGAAATGATGTAAGGGCCTTCCACCACTTATCTGTCAGTTTATCATACCATGGTGGCTTCATGTAGCTATGATGTCAGAAACTATGCCACTGATATTTCAAATACCAGCACATTGTGGACAAGTTTCAGCAGAGCTTCTAGATTAAGATTGCTAGATTAGAAAAAAAAAAAAAAAAGCCTGGTAATCAACTTCCAAAAATTAGCCAATGAAAACCTATGGATCACAACAGAACATTGTTCAACTCACTTACTTTGGACACATCATCAAGAGGGATCAATTACTAGAGGAGGACATCATGTTTGGTGAAGTGGAGGGCCAACAAGGACATGGGAGACTCTCTGTGAGATGGAGTGGCACAGTAGCTGCAATGATGTACCCAAACATGATGCTGTTTGTGAGGATGTTGCAGGACTGGGCAATGTTTCATTCTGGTGTGCATAAGGTCACTATGAGTCGGAGTCTACTCGATGGCATCTAACAACAACAAATATTAACCTTGGTGTGAGAATATGGTGAAAACATTCAGCCTTTCTTTCTATAAATCAAGCTGTTTTAAATAAGAAAGACTCATCTCTTCCCCACATCATCCTGCATCTTGTTTCCTGTACAGCTCTTTACCTCCCAGAGCTCTTGAGGCTCTGATATCAACCTTTAAGCCCTTATACCATACAATGCATAAGGCATTTGCACGCATACAATGCCAGCTGTGAGTGCCATATGGAGAAGCCATCCGTATACATATGTACAGAGTGTTTCTGAAGCCAGAAAGAGTGTAGAGAAGTGTGTGACTGATCTAGCTTTATCTTTTCCTTGCATTTGAACATTTTAATCAGTGAAATATCTTTAGGACATAAATAGAATCATGTAGTGATATAAGCCTGAGTTAAAATCAAATATGTACTTTTGTTTTTATATGGACATAGGCCTATGTGTATAAGTGTATGGGTGTATGAAAATGTAGATTGAACGTTTGGATACAAATGGGTTGATTTTCCAATGGAGTGTGTGGGAATAATGTATAAATGAATAGAGATGGTATATGTCAGTCTGCTCAAGCAGGGCTTTCTCATATTGAAGCGGAGATTTCCTCCTCCTGTAAATAGTTGAACAGAAAGCTCCTTTTCTGCTTACACCTACTTTAGGTGCAGAGTTCATTGGTATGGCTGCCAAAGATTGATGGGGAAGATCAGTCTCCTGACTGAGCCCCATATTGGTGGTATACCTCATACCACAGACAACATGGACCAGTAGCCCTGTGTAGGGATGATGTCAGGTGGAGCCACACTTCAGGCTATATTTTCCTTTGAAGTAACCTCTTTCCTTCTTTTCCTTCCACCTTTTCTAGGCAGGACAGGGCTGCTTGCTGATCTCTTGCCCAGTTTTGCTGTGGAGATTATGCCAGGTATTCAGTCATTTAACTCTTCGTTTGCTTAATCTGCTTTCACTCCATCTGTCTGGCCTCTGTATTAGTCACTAATTGCTCTTTTAATTTATTTGAACATTTATCTGTATAAGTCTGTGATCTTTTCCTGGATGAACTAAATCCATTGGAAAAAGCCTTTAAATGTCATTCCTTTGGTAACCAGGTACCAAAATAATAATAATAATAATAATAGGCTGAGACGGGAACCAGTCCTTTAGTGTCAGGCATGCAGGATTTTCAGCAATCTCTATGCCCATGCCAGCATGTCAGCTGTACCCAGATAGCTGTAAGCACCCTTCAGATCGTCATTTATCTACATTCTTTAGGTTATATATGTACCCATCTATTATTGTACAAACATATTAATCTGAATTGGCATTTATAACTTTATCAAAACATCTTTTTCAAGCATTATGAAAGCTATGCACCTCTCCTACCTTGAAAAGCACATATTGACAGACCTACATTGTTTTGCATACAACTTCAGAGGCTTCCTAGGCCACTAAGTCACTAGGGGTCTGTGGACCATATATCAAAGACACCTGCCCCAAATGCACACCTCCTTTTGTGTAGCTTCATTTGAACACACCAGCTTAGCCAAACCCAGTATCAGTTTGGTGCAGCACAAGTAGTCCATAATGGAAGGAGGCTCAGAGAGAAACAAGAATGAACTATGTGAGATAGTCTATCCAAGGAATGGTATGATCCAGTTCTGCCAAAGGTTTAAGAGCTGCCTAATAGTTAAGAGTAGCAGAGAGATAAATAATATTCCTGACCACTGGTTTTGACTTGACTCAAGTTATAAGAAACATCCAACGTCTTCATAGTTGAACTTCACTAGTTATTCTTCTAGGAGCTCTGGTAGCATAGTGCCTAAGGCACTTGACTGCTAACCAGAAGGCTGGCGGTTCAAACCCACCAGCCATTCCTCGGAAGGAAGGTTGGGCATTCCTACTTCCATAGTGATACTGGCCTCGGAAACCCAAGGAGGGGTCGCTATGAGTTGAGGCTGACTCGATGGCAAATAACAACAACAGTTATTCTTCTACAAATTCTTCTAGTCCTTTCCCATTATTGGCAAACCCAAATATAGACATTCTTCTTATAGACGTTCACCCCAAAACACAAACTGGTATCTCTTTATGATCCCATTTATCCAGACTTCCCTCAATTTTGCAAGCATTCGTTCATCACAAAAGACAGTGCTATATTGCATTGTTTCAAACTAGATGCTGTATTACACAGTCCCAAGACAGAGTTACTGTATTTTTTATATCTGGTTCTCAGGGCCTGAATCCTCTCCTTACTTGTCTCCAAGAAGACTTTCACAGATAACATTCTTTTGTTTTTCAAAGGTAATTTGTCAGTATTTTATCCTTGACTGCCTGACTCAAATTGTAGCCACCGATAGACACAGCTCATCTAATCTTCAGGGCTCTGTATCTAGCTCAGGCTACATACACATTGTGTTACTATGTTTTTGCCAAGGTCCAGGCCAATGCCCTTGACTATCTATTGTTCTCAGCATGAATGTTCTCCACCTGTTCTCACCAGACAAGATCTTCTTATTCTCTCACTGAAGAGAGGTTGACCTGATTACTATGAATGCATTTCTGGTGGATGAGTGTGTGTGGGGTGTGTACTTTGGAGAAATGTAAGTTGTTTGTTTTTCTCTCTGTGGAAATTATGTTTTAAACAAATGTCAAAAAATTTTTACCACTATTACAAAACCCTTATGTAACAGCCATCATATTCTCAAGTTCCATCTGAATGTCCATTTAATTAAAGAGACAGTTAATAACCAAAATTCAAGAAAAGCATGTGTATTTGGGGCTCCTTGTAAAGGAATTTTTGGTAGATGGTTTTCAACCAAAATGAGTCACTTTAAACTTCTGGTCAGTTCCTATAGCTAAGTCCCAAAAGCATGATATTCAGACCAGTCCCTGATGGACATAGTCATTTTTATCCAAGTCAAAATAGGATCTGTTTCCTTTTCCTTGGGTCTGAGATCTCTTGATCTTTTGGATGAGCAAATGGAATGAGATGAAAATTCAATGGATGAGAATTCATGTTCAGCCTCTGGCTGAGCTGTTAAAAAGCAGAAGTGAACAGATATACCCAGATACATATATATACACACACACACACGTCAGCCTTGCCATCCATCAGAGGTCTGAGCCCTTGGCTGTACCAGCTTTCTAGCCTAGTCAGCCTGAGTGTGATCATACCAAATCAATTCACTGGGAATGGGGTCAGTGTTGTCTCTGTCTCATACTGTGTCTCCTTTTTCCCTTGACCATGGTTTGTTGTGAAGCCCTTAGCACTGATCTCAGCACTGATGCTGTGTACCTGCAAGGTGGGACAGGGATAATCATCAGGTGAATCTGATGAAAACATAAGGGGTATGGGCCACCTAAATATTTTCTGCATTTAGACTGTTTAGACTATTTAGACATGGAATACTTTTGTCTTGAGACTTAAACTTTATAGACAAAATTAGCTTGACTACAAAAAATATGTATTAAATATGTAGAAACCAAAGCTTATTACTGGTTACCAGGAATGGGAGGGAGGAAAACAGGGGAAGTCACTGTTTAGGCGGCACTGAGCTTCTGTTAATGGTGGTAGAATAATTTGGAAAAGGATGGTGGTAGATGGTTGTACAATATGATGAATGGAATTAATGTCACTGACTTGTACATATTAAATTGTTGATTTGGCAAATGTTTTGTTATATATATTTGTATCACAATTTTAAAAAAATAAACTAACATTTCTTAGCCCAGTAAGACTCCCCAACTAGGATTCTTTATACTCTTGTCCCTTACTTGTTCTGACAGTACAATCAATTTGGTAAACCGTTCTCCATCACTGTGTGCTAGTCATTATGTTGTACCTAATACGGCATAGGTATCTTCCCTTGTTTCCACATCTCAACTGTGGGAGGGTGTCTGTACTCCTCACTCTCAGAGTTCCTTATGAATTTTGAGGGTCTGTCCCCTGTTATAAAATGCTTTTTTCCCCCAGGTCCCTCCCACTTGCCTCCTCCCACAGGAAGACCCAGATTAGAGTGTGCCCTGTTCTATAGGTGGGCTGCCTCGAGTGTGGATTTCTTTGTGCGTCCTTCCAGAGTGGGTGTTTGTTGGTCTGGTGATCCTGGGAGTCTTCCTCTTCTTCGTCCTGGTGGGGATCTGCTGGTGCCAGTGCTGCCCTCACAGCTGCTGCTGTTACATCCGCTGCCCGTGTTGCCCGGATTCTTGCTGCTGCCCTCAGGCCTGTGAGTAAAGTGACCAGTGGGAGGCAGTGGGAGAGTGATCGAAAGAAATGTCATCTCCCCATCTGACAGCTTTGTGCCCTGAGTTCCTTTTCCATCTCCTTTTCCTTCCACCCAGAAGAGTTGGTCATTCCAGATCCTCACCTCTGCTGGGAGCCCCTGGCTTCCAGAGATGACCATCCTTGTCTTCCTTCTCACCTACATGCACCTCTCCATGCTTTTCATCCACACCTATCACTCCTACGTTTGGAATTTTCATTGATGCTATTGTTGAAAAGCAAAGCAGGTTCAAGATGGTGAAGCTGGGAAGTGAAACTTTTGCCTTATCTCCTGGGCATTCACACTGGAGGGAACCTCCTTTGGTCATTCTCCTCCTCCTTTTATAAGCAGATTGTGCAAACTGGCAGCCTTTTAATACCATAAGCCACAGAAGAGTTTTATTTACTCCCATGATGAAATGGGCCACAATAGGGACTAGTCCTTAGTCCTCATTTGGAGATTCACAATTTTACCTTACTGGCCAGGGCCATGTGAGCATCAACCTTGGAAGACCCACCATAAATCAAACACATCTTGAAGCATAGAGACACATGTATTTTTCATATTTTTAAGAGCTTCTTGGAGGATCAGATTATTTTCTCTGCTTTTGACATCACAGAGTGGGGGTCTTGTGCAAGCCCATTGCTTGCTTTATCCCACTAGAAAAGGTTCAGGGTCCTCTTGGAAACAGCCCTGGGCAGCTCTTGTGTTAGGCCTCTTCCAAAGGCGCTGAGGCAGCCTACAGACAGTGTGGTTAAGAGTGGGCTGCTACTGTCACTGGGGATGTTGCTGTGACAGCTCCCAGTACCACTTAATTACACAGTTGCCAGGTACTAAACACTGTAATTCCTTATGTCGTTGCCTTTTAGCAGAGCTGGAGGAATCCAAGGGGTGGGGAGAGTTGTTCTGATGAATCAATTCAAGCCTAGGAGAAAACACACACACACACACACACACACATGCCTTTAAAGCCAAGAGTTTCCTTAAGTGCATCCTCAGGAATTTTGGTATGAGGGTTGTGGAGGGTGGGCCCATGTAATTTCTCTTGCTCTTCATCTCCCTTCACAGTGTATGAAGCAGGGAAAGCCGCAAAGGCCGGGTACCCTCCCTCTGTCTCCGGTGTCCCTGGCCCTTACTCCATCCCCTCTGTCCCTTTGGGAGGAGGCCCCTCATCTGGCATGCTGATGGACAAGCCGCATCCACCTCCTCTGGCACCAAGTGACTCCACTGGAGGAAGCCACAGTGGTAAATGTAGTTCCCGACTGACCTGCCCCATCCTCCTCTTGGGCCCCTTCTTCTGGTTCCTTGCTGCTACATATGATCAGCTCAATGATGCTGAAAATGATTATCCTAACTCCAGAATTCTTCCACACGTACCAGCTCTTTTCTAGAGTGCATGTCAGACTTCCCAGGGGCTGCAGGGTGGCATTGCTGCCCTCCTTTCTTCCCAGGCTCCTCAAAACCTAAAAGTATAAAAAAAGAGGCACCTTTTAAACCTCATGCTGGTCATTCATTAATAAGTAATTTATCTCGTCTCTATTTAGTATGGGCCTATAATAGGCACAAGGAGCCCTGGTGGCACAACAGCTAAATGCTTGGCTGCTAATTGAAAGGTTAGTGGTTTGAACCCTCCTAGTGGCTCCACAGGAGAAAAACCTGTTGATCTGCTTCCTTAAAGATTACAGCCTAGGAAACCCTGTGGAGCAGGTCTGCTGTGTCACATGGGGTGGCTATTAGTCAGAATCAACTCAATGGCACCCAACAACATAGTAGGCACTGTGAAGGATTCCAGGAAATACAGGACCTGGTTTCTCCAACAAGGAGCACGGCATAGTCAGGGAGAGAGAATGGGCACTGATAGTGACAAATTCGAGTATGGTACTGAGAGTTCAAAGAAGAAAGTGATTGGGTGATTACAAAGTCTTCAGGGAAGAGGTAAGAGCCAAGCTTGGCCTAGAAGAATCATAAGATTTAGGAAAGCAGAGTTGTGGATGCTCAATCAACATGGTGACATCCCAGAGCTGGGAGAATGTAATGCATGTGCTTGCCAGCATTCAATCTGTGACCTGACTGAAGAAAGTAGGAAAAGATGCTGGAGGGAGGGTCCTGTAACCCTTGTAGAAGAACTGGGCTTGGTGTAGTGAGCAATTGAGAGCCATTGCAGGCAGGTTCCTCGGTGGGGAGCTGATATGTTGACATATGCATTTAGGAGCTATTAATCTGGCATCACTTCATAAGGGAAGTGGTAAGTGGGAAAACGTGGAACCAGAGGCTATGAACTAAGATGCAGTTGGAGTGGTTCAGTTGTGAACTGTGAGTATGTGGGCTATGATGGAGACAATGGGGACTATAAAGAATAGGTCAATCTGAGAGGTATTTTGAAAGAAGCAGCAATGAGACTTTGGAGAATGAAGGAAAGTGAGGCTTCAAGATGGCTCCAGTTTGTCTAGCCTATCATTGATAAAGGAGAGCAGATTTGGGTGAAGACAAGCCCTACTTTGGTATGATTAACTTATAGTTATTGGGAGGGGAGGCATTAAAATACAGTTTTTGTGGGGACATTTGAACAGGAGTACAGTGCTAAACAAAGGTTGATGGTTGGAACCCACCTTGCAGCTCCACAGGAGAAGACCTTGTGATCTGCTTCTGTAAAGATTACAGCCAAGGAAACCTTGTGGACAGTGCTACACTGTAACACAGGGGGTTGCTATGAGTTAGAATCTACTCATAGCCATCTGTTCTGTTCTGTTCTGATCTCTGTTTCCACATTTTAGGTATCTGTCAGAGCAGTACTCTACTCTCTCAGTACTATATCCTGTTCTGGTTACTTGGTTACTCCACCATAGAGTTGATTACCAGTCTCATCCTGGGGACTACTACATCCAGCTGCCCAGCCACTCAACCAGGCCCAACCAAGTTGACACACAAACGTAACAACCATAATTCCACCCCTTGTCAACTTGGCACCTGTACAGATCTTCAATGGGTAGTATCTGTACAGGTCTCCTCTACTGGGTGTCCTAGTTCCTGAGTGGTGACCTCACTCCCTTGGCCTGGCAGGCCTTGTTCCTCTCCCTCTTGGGCATGGCAGCCCTGCCCCCTCACTTTTGGGCAGCAGCTATGGCTCCATCCCACTGGCTCACATGAACAAGCAGCCCCACACTCCAGAACCAAGTTGGTGATAGTCTGGCTCTCTGAAACCTAGGGGGTGGTGGTGGTTCCACCCCCAAAGGCCATGGTCCTACCCTTAAGGCTGAGGCAGTTCTGCTTCCTGTTTCCTTGGTCTCTCCGCTTCTGCTGATTAATGCCGAAGGCAGCCCACTCCGCTGGAAAACTAACTGCCCCAAAAGCACTCAGCTTTCTTGCTCTGTGGGCTGGCCAACCTGCTACTCCATCTCATGTGTCTCTTCTACCAATTAATGCCCGAAGGCAACCCACTCCACCAGAAAGCCGCCTACCCAATGGCACCTGGTTTTCTCCTTTGTGGGCTGGTAAGCCTGTTGCTGTTTAATGACGGTCTCTGGGCTCTGCTACTGCTGTCTCTCATGCTGGTCTCTCTGCCAGTATCTCTCTGCCAGTCTCTTGGCTCTGCCTTTGCCATCTCTCATGCTGTATGCTGGGATCTTTCTGCCAGAGTCTCAGGTCAAGGACACACTCCACTCCTATTTCCACATTTTAGGTATCTGCAAGAGCGGCACCCCACTCTCTCAGTACCATATCCTGTTCTGGTTACCTGGTACTGCTCTGACAAGAATATACCACAAATGGGATGGCCTTAACAAACAGGAGTTTATTTTCTTGGAGGCTTTAAGTCCAAGTTCAAAGTGCCATGCACTAGGGGCTGGGTGAAAGCCCCTCAACCTTGGGGTCCAGCTCTGCCTCCTGCTCCCAGACCACTGAAGCTCGAGGCTTTTCTTCACTCAGCTGCTGGCTGATGAAGCTAACAAACCCAAGGTTGACAAGTAAAGGGCACAGTCCTGATGTTACCAAACCACACAGCAGGCCATTAATTCAAGTCCATTGTAAGTGCCAAGGTTGGCAGAGCATGGCATGCTGCTGCACAATGACATGACTACATGCAGGGTCCAAGTGTGCCATAAGCTGGAGACCATTCCCAAAGCTATTTCTTATATATGGGAAGCAGACCACATATCTAAAGGCAGCTACTCAGCTGCTTGCAGTAGATTCCATCATGGAGTTGATTACCAGTTTCATCATGGGGAATACTACATCCAACTGCCCAGCCACTCAACCAGGCCCAGCCACTATAGCATCCAATAACAAAAACAGAATAGTGAAGGTGAAGATTGTTTGTATAGAAGATTTAGGAGATGATTTTTAAATCTGTAGGAGCAGGACTCCATTAGAAGATGGAGGAATAGGCAAACAAGCTACACAAACCCTCTTCAACAAAGAAAAGAGAAACCAGTTGACAGAGATACAGAAGATAATCCTGGAGCCCTGAGCTTTGAAAGGAACTATACAGATTAGGCACTGACTAGTGGAAAAATATGAATGAAAACAGTGAGTACAGAGATGGTCGGAGCAGTGGACTGTCAGCTACTCTAATGGGACCAACAGGCTAAATATTTTCAAGTGGTGTTGGTACCTGACAATTGACCTAAAGATCAGCCCTGGTCACCAAGGGATGCTGGGATGACTATGCTGGTGGCCTATAACTAGGAAGGGAAACAGCAATGAGGGAGACAGCCTGAGCTGTGGACTTTTGGCTGTCCAGAGGGTGCAGCCATTTTGATTGTTTACAAGTGCAGCTATTTTGGATATTTAAAGTGACCAAAGGCACAGCCATTTTTAATGTTTATAAGTGGTGGCCATTTTGGATATTTAAAATGACTAAGGGTGCAGCCATTTTGAATGTTTACAAGCAGCGGCCATTTGGATTTTAAAGTGACAGCATTCTCATTCAGATTCCAGGGACCTAAGAATATCCTCTGTTTGCCAAGGATGGCAGGGACATATGGGAGGCACAGGAAAGGAGACAGATGGTGAGTATATAAGTGCTGCCAACTAGTGAATAGAGGAGCACAGCACAGTACCCTACTTACGTAGATAACATACAAACAAAGAAAATGAAAATCGTGGACAAGTCACTCCAACATACAATCACCAATTAAATATAAATACAAAAACATCACAATGCCTTGGAGACAACAGAGCATCACAGTGCACACAAAGAAGCAAGATAAAGGAGGAGAAACAAGGGACCAGGGTACAGACCCAAAAACACATCCCTGAGGAAGACACAGCATTGAAACTCCCTGACAAGGAATTGAAAAGAATTTTATTTAGATATCTTCAATGAATTGAGAGACAGATCAAGGAAAACACTGACAAAACTGAGGAAAACACAGAGAAAACCCTAGAACAATTTTGAAAGACAATACAAGAACAAAATAACAAAATAAATGAAAAATTAGAAATGACACAAAATCTACATATAGAAATCCAGAAGATTAATACTAAATTTTCAGAAATATTGAATGGGCAAAGAAGTAGAATTGAATCAATGGAAGACAGACTTAGTGAGATTGAAGACAAATACCTCAATACTTCTTTAGAAAGCAATCATTCAAAAAAAAGAAAGAAAGCAATCATTCAGAAAAAAGTTCAGAACAAAATGAAGAAAGCCTAAGGTTCATGTGGGATACCATCAAAAGGAATAACCTACGTGTAATCAGAATTCCAGAACAGGAAGAGAAAAATAAAACCACTGAGAAAATTGTCGAGGATTTGTTGGAAGAGAATTTTCCTGGTATGGTGAAAGATGA